CCCCCCCCCCCCCCCCCCCACTAAAAAGATTAAGTATATCAAGTAACTATTAGACAAAATATGGCCTACCTAGTAAAAATACTTACAACTCAATTCCATTAGATTCACTGATCTTCTTGTAGAATAAAGCCAAGCGCTGTTTGTCTGAGAGAAGTATGGCGCCCTCTGGGGCCTTCCCTATAGGATATTTGACCATTACCCCAGGCGTCTTTGTCACGTCTTTTTCCATGCTGCTATTTTCCTGTGCTCACTACCTGGCTTCTGAAATTCAGAAAGCAATGCAGGAAAAACAAAACAATATATATATATATATATATATATATATATATATATATATATATATATATATATATATATATATGCACATCCACAATACTGGGTAACAACACTGGGACACGGGCAACAGAGCGTCATCTTGTGATATGCACGCTTTCATTTTAGAATACGCATTGTATTTTGTTTTATATCCATTAATTTAGGAAATTGTAAGATTTAAAAAAAATAAAAAATTTTGAAAAGAATACATTCAACTTCACAGAGTTGTGAAAGCATGTTGCATTCCTGAATCGGCGGTAAACAGTGGCAACATGAAGTAGTTTTTCATGAGTAACACACCAAAAAGTGGAGACTGAATACAGCTTATTTAATTATTCTCATTTAATATTCATGTGAATGGGTCATTACATCATCAGTGGAAATCTCCACTCTTGATGCTAAGTCCCTGAGATGAAACTGAATGAAGAAAGGAATCTACACGCAAGCTGTGGTTTTGCTGTCATGTGTCTGAAGGAAACGACGAAGAACATTTTTTGTTTTTCTCTAGTGTGTGTGTGTGTGCCCTAAATGATCCCTGATATGACAAAAAAAAAAAAAAAAAAAAAAAAAAAAACCATAAAAACATGACAATACTTTTCTATTATAACAAACAATTTTGTGTTTCCAAACATTGCTATGTATTTTGAACTTTTTAATTCTTAGCCAAAAATGACACTAAAAATGTGGAACACAGACATAACAGTCTGTTTTGCAGCGGTTTTGAATTACCTGAGCGTGTAATCACATATGTTATGACCCAATCCTGTTTCGGATTATTGGCACTGTCACTTGTATAGCTTGCATAACTAGCACATATAAGTCTGCTTTTCGACAAATATCTTTTCTAAATTACATGGTGACGATTGTAGGTCATATATACTCTTCTTATGCCTAGATTTTATCAGCAGGTAACATATTCTAAGTTCCAATTTACAAAAGCAATATGTGTAAGCTAAACATCAACCCATACAAAATCAAACTTACATATATCTCTTCTTCACGCTGTCATGTAACACATGGGTCCGCCATGTGCAATGAAATCTGGGTAAGGGAGCAGCTGTTATTTTGAATGCAGCTCCTAACTTCCGGTCTGAAGTAACGCTCCCTAAAAGCGCGGTACCGGTGTGACAGAAGTGGAAGGAATCGTAGTCCGCTCCCTAATATTTTGTATAGGTGACATTCGGACCAACCCTAAACTGTACTTATCATATGCGAGCCCGGACTTCCGTTCCTAGGACTACCATTTTTGCATGTGAAAGGTGGGAATTAAGAAGGGGGGGGGGGGGGGTGGGGGGGAGGCAGAGGATACAGTGTGGTGTCTTCCCAAAGGGTATAAAAACCCCAAAAGGGCTGGTGCATAATCGAATACTGCGTTATTATTCGTCTACCGATCTGTTTTCTATATATATATTTACGTTTTTACCAAGTATTTTCGCATTGTCTACCAATAGCCAGCCCTACACTGTATCTCAGTCGGTGCCATTTTCACCTTTTCAGCTGAATGGCCTTTCGGATTACCTCTTTCCTAAAGTCCACTTGTCCAAAACAGGGCTCATATTGGTCCGAAAGAAAAAATTGGCAATAAGATTGGACATGCATAAAAATAACAAGACCTTGACCTTTGTCAAACCTTTTATTTTTTAATTTATTTTTTTTTAGATTTATTAAGAATCGTCATGTAAAAATTAAACTACAAGTACATTTAAGATTTCAGAGAAAAATTAATTAAATCAATTTAATCAAATACCTTTTGAAAACTAATGGTCGTGTTGGATCATGACAGTGAAAAACATTAAGGGTCCAAACAAATTTTTAGTGGGAGCGACGTAGGACAAAGGGCCCACGGCACGGACTCGTATCTAGATGCCATTGCGCCTTCAGATATATGACTTAATTAAAGGGATAATAACTCTTCGTTTTGGCCAAAAAATGAATTTTCCTGGAGTAAACAACAATTTTCCCATACTTACCAATGGTTAATGAATCCATTTTTACATTCAAAGTTAGTCCCTGGTTTTTTTCTATAAAGTATTGTTTTTTGTTAAAATCTCTTAAGAGATTATAACAGAGTATAGCCATCAATGGCGGTCACGTGGTCTGACGACAAGCTCAAATATAAGAATAATAGCTATAACTGCCGTTGTTGTGGTAAAACAGAATATATTATATTTGTACGAGTTATTCGCAATGCTTTTATTGTGAAATAAAGATCTCATACGAAGAGTTATTATCCCTTTAACAGTTTAGAGCAGGTAAAACTGACACGCAGACTGCTCGTTGGATAACTGATTTGGTACCTTATAACTCATCAGTTGTTACTTCAGTTGTTCGGTAAGGTGAGCCAAAACTACGGTCTTTCCTCTTTAACCAACACCTTCTAATGTTATGTGTTAATTAGGTGGGACAAGTAATTCCAACACCTTCCTAGATGATAATTACACAGTTTACCCTGTCTTACGCTAGTAGCCTACATAAACAGACTTTATGACGGATAAAAATGTCATTTGGTCTGACAAGTGTGAAAATTCTGTCAGATTGAAACAAAATCCGCCAGATCAATGCCAAATTATAGAAATGCTGCAAACCAATTGATGTTTTAATGATTTCAGGTGTATTTTTTTATCGTATTCAATCATAGAAATGAAATTCTCAGATACAGAGTTATTTATGTACATGTATTTAATACGTTGCAACACTCTTTAAGAGAGAAAAAAAGACATTTCAATTCTTTAATGCTTAGCATATTTTATTACTTATCATATACATTATATTTTTTTTTATTATATTTTAGATTATATTTTTTATAATGGAACAGTTTAACTGTAACAATAAATGTAATAAGATATGAACATTTATTCTTGTTACTTCAGCTTCAGATATCCCGGTTTCCTCAGTTATTGTCCCCATTCTGGCCAAGACACTGGCAGTTTTCATTCTGCATATGATAATTTTTAACACTTAATCAGACAAACACGCTTTTATGCATGAACCAAA